TCCAGATGTTCCTATGTTATTATCTAATAAAAGAAAGTCACTTTTAATGTTGTCATCATGTTTTATTTAAAATAAAAATAACTACCCTGTCACCTCTGGACCACAGTCCACCTCCCGTGTACGTGTGAGATAATGCACCAGGCACTGTGTGTGCTCGAAACGGAATCAGCCAAGCCAACCCTCCCTGGAGCGGGGATGCGGCTACTGTCCCCGGGACCACTCTGATCACAAGCCCCCCGCATGCAGGAGGAAGCCTGGAGGTACTCTGGGCTGGGGAAGGGGGCACAGGGTGTGCACTGCTCCAGGCTTAGCTGCTGTTCATGGGGTTCCAAAGGATCTCTGAACAAAGGGATTGGGGAGGAGTGCTTCTCCTCAGGCCTGACAGGCGCAACCCCCGCTTCTGAACTACAGATAATCTGGACCCACTGCCCTCACCCTACACGACTCTGAGTTGCTCAGTGTCTAAAGAATCCATTGCTCTTTCCTATTCCCGAGTCCTGAAGAGACCTTCCCTCCCCTTGCAGAGAGTGTGGGGTGGGCAAGGGGTACCCTGAAGTGTTGGCAAGAACTGGCTTCGTCCTTTTGACACGTAGGGCTGATGAAGCTGGGCGCTCGCTAGGCCCTGGGGGAGCAGGCCGCAAAGAGCCTGGGGAGTCAGTTCAAGGGGGCACAGCCCCTCCCTGCACACCAGGCCCTCCCCTGCTTCAGCCTCCCCACAGCCCCTGGATGCTCTTCTCTGAATCACAGGCTGCTGCCAATTACAAAAGGACTCTTAACTCTGTTTCGCAGCCCCTTGATTGATAGCACTGGTGAGTGAAATTATAAGCCTTAATGATCACGTTAATTTCTGGGGAAAGGGAAGCGGTCGGAAGAGGTTCTCAATCACAAGCACCACAGTCAGCTGGGCGAGTTCAATGACAGGCCGGAGCAAGAAAGAGGTGGAAGAATTAACTTTTTTAAAGGTCATCAGAGAGTAGTGGGAGAGTAACCTGGCATCAGAGATTCGGGGCACAGACGATCCTGGAGCCTGGACGCGAACCCCCGTCCCGGGGCTCCGGACTGAGGGCGGGCATCGGTGCTTCTCCTCCTTAGCTCTGCTCCCAGGCGGATGCCCCAGAGATGCTGCTGTCACCGTGCTTGGGATATGGCTCAGAGGCTGGCAGCTGTGCAGCCCCCCACATGATCCTCTGAGCAGCCAACATGGAGAACGACTCATCTAAATGAAAGGATCTGGGGCAAGTAGTTAGGATTGAGCACATTTGGGAATCCACTTACCCTGATTGGCTCTTGCCACCAAGGGGAGTTGCTTCTGGGGGTCTCCTGGCCCTGCCTGAAGACAAGAATGAGAACAAGACCACCTGGCTCTCCTGAGAATCAAACCTAGGGCTTCAGCCTCCTCAAAGTATTGACCCTACTCACAGTTTCCCAGCAGAGCATTGCAATCCCCGGGGTAGGTCAGGAAGCTGCGCAGTTGATGTGGCAACATCCTGGTTACCATATTAGGGAGACTGCCCTCTGCAAGCGGCCAGGGAGGCCAGCTCAGCAGTGGCAAGAGCTCTGATGGCCCTCCCGGGTGGGCTCTGTACTGGTCAGCTGTATTCGGAGCAAAGAGCCATTTCATGTCCCAAAATAGGCTTCACAAACCTAAAAAGATGATTTAAAAATACAGACTAAATAAAATAAATCATGCATCATTTGTGGTAAAGGCACTGGAGTTAATCAAAGAGAGTTATTGTTCTTCAATTTTTCCTAAGTGATTATAAAAAATGTTATTGTAGAATGAGCGGCTCGAGATTCTTAGAGCAGCATCTTAGCTGCAGAAAGTGGCTGCCAAGCTGCTTCTACATTATCAGTTATCCAAAAAAAAAAAAAATACGTTATCATTTATCTACTTTCTCTCAACCTTCCTCGTGACATGGATGCACTCAAACGTTCACAGGAGAGGCCTGGACGGAAAAATCGGGGGCAGCGGGCTCTAGGGTGGGCAGGCTGAGACCTACCGGGCCAGCCCAGGAAGCAGCACAGCAGAGGCGTGTCCCTGACAGAAACAGGCATCCTCTGTATTTTTTTAACAGCATCTAAAGTGTTCATCAAGCCCGTGTCTGATTAAGCACTTTTAAATTCTGAGCAATGAAATGGGCCCTCTCATCCCCTCTTGGCAGGAGCGCAAACTGATCCAACCCTTTTGGAGAGCCGTTTGGTTGTATGTATCAAAATTAAAAATGCATATAACCTTTGACCCAGAAATGCCACTTCTAAGAATTTTTTTCCTACAGAAAGACCCCAAGTCCGTGGGAATGTACATGGAAAGATGGTTCTTTGCCGTTTGTTACAGTGAACAACAGCAAGTAACTTGAACTCTATCAGTGAGGAATTAGTTGGGTCAACTACAGTTAATCCATAAAATGGAATACTAGGCAGATGTTAAGAAGAATGAAGTAGAGCCACCTGCAGAAGAGAGAGCCATACACACAAAAATAATTTGCAGAAACGTAGAAGGTTTCCATTTTTCTAAGGATCATGGACAGCAACCACAGTGCACGTCTCTGGTCAAGGGGTTCAGTTCCTGGGCTCCTAAATTGGACTAAAACCCCTAAACTACAAGTGAAATAATTTGGGAGCCTAAATTCAGCTCCTGAACTCACCTCTTGTTCTTTCTTTTCCTTAACATCAAAGGACAACTAAAAGTGATTCAAACGCAAAGGTAAGACCCCTCACCTAATTGTCACAGTATGTAAATAATACTTTTGAAAAGCAATGCTCCCAGATTTAGAAAAACCATTTGTCAAAAGAGCACCGGAAGACTGGTTTTTGGCTGCAGTAATCACTTGGCTAGGCCCACCTTCTCTTGTTTGTTTATTCAAATTGCATATGTGGGAATGGTATAACTTGAATTTGTATATCCAAAGACTACTATGGCACAACCCCCAGCCCCCCAACACCAGCCATAGAGGGTGTCTGCCTTAAAATCTATGCAAGCACAAAGGTTCTTAGAGCACCCAAGCTGCAGCCAGCAGAGATCCCCAAATCCCAGAAGAGAGTGCTGCGGAGTTTTTAATCCTGGGCTTTTTCAAACGTTGAAAGCCAGCCTTGATTCATGCTTATCATGGCAGCGATGGCCCAAACAGGCAGTTCCAGTGGGAATATCTTCTAGGACAGGTCACAGGAAACTTACTCCCTCTTAACTTTACTGAGACTATTTTCAATGGATTAAAATAGATTCTATGGGGGCGCCTGGGTGGCTCAGTTGTTAAGCATCTGCCTTTGGCTCAGGTCATGATCCCAGGGTCCTAGGATCGAGCCCCGCATTGGGCTCCCTGCCCTGCGGGAAGCCTGCTTCTCCCTCTCCCACTCCCCCTGCTTTTGTTCCCTCTCTCGCTGTGTCTCTCTCTGTCAAATAAATAAATAAAATCTTTAAAAAAATAAATAAAATAGATTCTACGATTGTGATAGATTTTATTATAGGTTGGCAATGCCCTTCCGTCCCTCTCCTCCATGAGAGGAGTACACTTCCCTGCTCCGGGGGAGGTTGGGTTTGGCCAGGCTTGTCTGGCTTTGGCCAGTGGAAAGTGACCAAATGTGACACGAGCAGCGGCTTCAAAAGTGTTTGTGTGGTTTGGCTCAGACCCTCGCACTTCTGCGCTCTGCCACGCAAAGAAGGAGCTTTCGGGAAGCCGCTAGTCCAGAGTGAAGAAACACCAGAACACGCTTGAACCCCAACTCCAGCCTGGAGCCAGGCCCAGCTGAGCCTCCAGGGACCCGCAGTGTCCAGAGCAGGAAACTCAAGTTCGCTGGTGTAAGCTTTGGGGGTTATTTAGCATTCTTGAAGCAGAACTTGACCAAGACGGGGAGGAATAGCCTTAGACCCTTTGCTCAGCTTTACCAAATCTTGTCACTGATCTCATATTTGTTTCCGGTTCTTTTTTGTCTTATGAAATAAGCCATTTTAGCATCTTCTTGGTACCTTTCACTAATCCCATACGTTCCCAAATGTAACCACTATTATGCTGTTAGTGTTTATCCTACTCATGTTTATTTTAAATGTTTGTGATATATTTACACATCTATAAACATAATCTGGTCTTGTTTTGTAAGCTGTAAAGCTTTACATAAACACCAAGCTCTATGCATCCTCTGTGATTCATTTCCCACCCACTCGCACACTGTATTTCACAACGTGGACCCTTGTTGAATACACTGGCTTGAGTCTACTCGCTCTAACTGTTGGCTTTATGTATAATACTGTATATGCCACGGGGTACCTATTCTCCACTGGTGGACATTTTCATTGTCAAACATGAACAGTGTTGCCAGGCACGTTGCAGTATCTTGTTGAGTACCTTGCTTTTCTCTAAGACTCACTTCTCCTCTGTGTGGACTCAGCAGAGGAGTGCCTGCCTGGTCGACCTTCCACACATGCAATCTCTAAGGTCAAATTAGCCAAGAGTTGCTAGTAGCTCTGCTCCAGACTCTTGCTGGAGCTGCTTCCCAGGATGAACCCACGGCACCCCTGGCCTTGGGCACCTCTGATTTCCGCCACTGGCCTCTGGCAGTGGGGCTGGTGCCCTGAGATTTGCTGGGAACCTCTGAAAGCACTTTCTACTGCTCTTTCCACATCTTACTCACCAATGCAAATCCTCACACTTTATCTTTTTGATCATTAAATGATTTCAAGTTCCTGGTCAGGACTGAAATGGTGGTGAGAGAGAGGAGTGAGTGAATGAAGACTCTGTTAATCGGCGTCTTTCTTCTTCACACAGCAATTTTTCTAACAGATGCAATTACATTTGAGAACTGCAGAGAACAGAATCTTATGTTTTATGTCTTTATTCATCATTTTACAAATGGGATTCACTGTAAAAAGGAAATTGCCTTTGTGGTTCAGTTCTTCAAGCTGGAGTGCTCTGAGTTTCAGTTTCTACACCAGCTGACACGGCCACCTCGTAGCTGGCAGGCAAGAGCCAGCAGGGGAGGGAGGCTAAGAAATCAGGTAGAGTTCCTTTAAATCCAATATATTTTTATTCTTTGTAAATACAATGAGTACAACCTTTTAACTTCACAAATCAGTTAATTCACTTTGTACAAGAAAAGTTTTACTCATCCTATGATAGTCCAAGTGCTGAATATTTTTCCTCAGTGCTAGTACCTAATAAATCAAAATGGGAAAAGTACAGCAGCTATTTTAAAATGGTTGTTTCTACATTTCCATAAGTATAGATTCATACCAAAGGAGCAGCTTATAGTGTAGGACGGTGTGTGTGTGTGTGTGTGTGTGTGTGTGTGTGTGTGCATGCGCGCGTTCAAGGCTTTACTAGAAACCGGTTTTCTGAAAGGCATTGAAGAGTCTCAGGCTGTTAGCAATGGATCAATCAAGAAACATTTTAGCCTTCATCTCCCTGTGGTTCCTTCTGACATCATGTCTCTGTTCGTTTACTCTGGTGTGACTCGCTGAAACACGAGTTTGGACCCCCATCGCCTTTGGTTTCAGCACTTTGTTAACGGGACAGCAATCTGCCTCATCCTTCACCTCCACTTTATTTGGTTTTGCTGTTTTTATTCATCCTCCCTCAACTTGTGTTCTTTCAGTAAAGCTCTTCTATTTTTGAGATGTTATCCAACCTGAAGTCCTGGTGAGAATCTCATTTTCGTCCACCAGTTCCTTGGACAAGGTTGCCTGGCCTATGGTATTGAGGAGGAGGAGGAGGAGAAGAACAAAAGAAAGAGAAAGGAGAGAAAGAGAAAAAGCAAGTCTCACGGCATAAGCTACCTTTCGTTTACTAACTCCGTCCTGAAGGCCACTTCATGATGTATTACGATAGAAGAAAAACTTTTGATAAAACTTTTGCTTTAAAACCTAACCATTATTTTTTAAAATAAATCCTCCAACGTAAAGTAGTTCTGAAGGCTGCCGTATGATGTTATACACAGAGCTCTATTTGGTTACCCAACTTCATACGCTAAAAAGGAAAAGAAAGTTCTACTGATGGTTCAGCTTTTGAGAGTTCAGCCCGATCTTCCAGGTAGGAGGCAGAATGGCACGGCCTGCGGCAACCCCTGAATCAGGGGCCCCCCTCCCAGGGCGTGGCAGCAGGGAGTTCTCTCTGTTCGGGTGGTCCTGTGATGCCCCCTTTCCTTCCCTGCTGCCCCACCCTGGGGGAGGCAGCAGGTCAAAGCAACTGGAACTGTTTTGTGTCCATTGGCATGTTTTTCTGAAGGCTACACATTCCCAGGTTTATGCTTCCTTGAAGGGTTTGTTAGTTGAGGCTTGTTCTCTGTGGGTCGAAGTTCATCAGATACTGTCCCATCCTGAAAAGCAGGGACTCGGAGCTTAGATATCACTGGATTTGTACATATCTGAAAGCAGTCTTGTAATTGGCACGTTGCCAATGGTTTTTTTGAAAAACACTTCTTCTATGGTTGATGGACTAATAGATCGTAAAGCTGGCAAAAGCAACAGGAGTTTTCCAAAGCGACAGGGTTGCGTGGGATATCTGGAAGAGGAGAAGCCACGAAAGCAAGGTAAGATCCATTACTCTTGTTAAGTCATACCCCGTACTTGAAGGCACACCCTCTTCCTGGCTGGGCCTTTTTACTACCCCACCCTCCCTGCAACAGAGGCCCCCACAGGCGCTTCTGGCCCTGCTCTGCAGGGTGAACAGTCGAGGCATGAAGAGCCTAAATGATGCTGCCAAAATCACGTGGTGACTGTCTCTACATTAGCAAAGGGCTTGCATTTTGTTTGGAGGAAAAGTAATTTTAATTTTTTTTAAAGATTTTATTTGTTTGAGAGACAGAGAGTTGAGAGAGAGAGGTGAGAGAGAGAGAGAGGTGAGAGAGAGAGAGCACAGACAGGGGGAGCTGCAGGCAGGGGGAGAAGCAGGCTCCCCACTGAGCAGGGAGCCTGATGTGGGGGCTCGATCCCAGGACCCCGGGATCATGACCTGAGCCAAAGGCAGATGCTTAACTGACTGAGCCACCCAGGCGCCCCGGAAAAATAATTTTAAGAAACATGGTACTAAGTTCGGGTCAGATAATACACTGAAGGCTGCCAGGGTAGGAAATCACCACGCTGCTGAGGATAAAGGTAGCGCTAACATCCACGTTTTCTGATTCGCAAGGCTCCTTCCTCAGGCTCGTTCCCTCAAATAAAATGGATTCCTTTTCTAAGCCATTCTCCAAATTATTATTCAGGCATTATACTTAGTCACTCTCAGGAATAATTCTGTCCTTATTACACTGCAAATTAAAGACTAAGTTCTGTTGGGTGGTAGTGCCATCCAACTTTCATGTCAATGAAATTGGCATGTAATTAAAGATGTGAGAAATTGCTTAACAATTTCCTCTCTTGATGCCCAACATACGTCTGTGCTCAGATGGGCAAGTTCAATTTTCTGCTGCCCTTAGATGCCTGTAACCTCACTGTGGCCCAGATGCCCCCTCCGTCAATTTTTTACAATCAGCTACCTATGTATTTCACAAGGAGAGCTCCTGCCTCTACGGCACACGACCCAGAAGACTGCACTCCTGGGGCACCTGTCTGTAAGTAAGCCAGGTTTAACCCCTCCCTAGCCACAGCATGCTAGAAACTGACAGATATCAAAACTCCTTCAGAGGAGTTAGGTAGCTGAATGCTGAGTTTAACTAACCAGTAACTTCACCCAGCAAATAGAATCTAGGGGAACAATTGTCACGGTTGTCTCTTCGCTTTGGGCACCTGGGAGTCCCTCTCTTCAATCTGATATTAGGCTGGTAAGTCTTTCTGGGCCTCTGAGGACCTCGTTTGGCTCTTTTGCTGCCCCGCTTCATTATCACCCATGGACAAGGACCACCAGACCTTGTAATCCCAAGACCCACATCTCCCTTCTACCTTACTCTCTTCAACAGCTCTGTTTCCCTTCCCAGGGTCAGCCCGAGAAGCAAGCACCCTGCAGTGGGTGGGAGGCTGTGGCTGCCTAGAGAGGCCTCCACTGTGTCTACAGCACTCACACAACATGCTGGGTTTCCCACGGTGAGCAAACACCGTGGGAAATAGTAACTTCCAGAAAGGATGGATTTGGGAGAAACCATAGACCATTAACTCTTGACTTTCTGCATGTAGATTATCTACTCACCTACTCACCTACTTCTTTTATTTCCTAGTTGGGAAGGGGCTGGTTAGTCAAGAATGAATTGTCTGTTCTTTGTGGAGTCCTGTACTACCTAGAAACAGTAACAGTGTGTGTGTGTGTGAGGCAGAAAGAGAGAGAGAGAGTCTAACTACTCAGTATTATTTTTTAGAATATCTATGTCCCTGATTTCATCCATTAGCATAAATAACTGGAAGTTTTCTTTTCAGGCATAAGTGTTCTGTGTCTGTCACAGATCTGTGTATTTGATCTTCAGTTATAATATACAGTTTGTGTGAAACGCCAATTCCTAGCCTTTTCCTTATGTCCTAGATAATTAGAGAAGTAGCCTACAGAGCTGAGTTTGCGATTTTAACAATTAATGTATAATTAGCTCAGTTTGCAATACTGACTTTTCATTTCAATTTTGGATCTTATTTTTCTAGACGGGAAAGTGCTAGAGGAGAATGTTCTCTGATTGAAGGAGCTAAGAAATAAGGCATATGCCGTTTTGTCCTATGTATGACTCTAGGTATTAATATTAATTATAGGGGCACCTGGGTGGCTCAGTCAGTTGAGCGTCTGGCTCTTGGTTTCAGCTCAGGCCATGATCTCGGGGTCTTGGGATGGAGCATGGAGCCTGCTTGGGATTCTCTCTCTCCCTCTCTCTCTGCCCCTCCCCCTTCTCTAAAAAAATTAAATTATAGCTATAGCTCATAGCATGAAATAAAAATTCCTTGTCAAAGCAAATGTGTTCCTTCAATGAATAACTTCCTTGTTTTGAGGCTGGGGAGAAGTAGTATACTTGCCATTTTCCTAAAATAGACTTCTGTTAATTTGTGGTTGAACTCTCTCAGGTCACCCTAGAAGAAACTTCTGGTGGGCCCTGCCCTCTCAGACTCCGCTCCCTGGACTCTGGCATCTCCAGTGCCTCTACCACAGTCCCTGTGCTGGCTCTCCTCGCAGCCCTTCTTCCTGCTGAAGGCCTGCCATTCAAGGATCGGCTCACATGTTATCTCCTCCATCACCCAGCTTTTCCAGACTTTCCCTCACCAACTAGAATTCGTCTCTCCCACTCCCCACTTCGCTTTTTCTCTCTTCGCTGGTCTGAACTGAATGAACACTTCTGTCTACTTCATTCAGTGATAAGGGGGAAGTGTCTTCTTCTTTCTGGTGTCCCACAGTGCTCACCAGGAGCCCTGCATGGAGCGAGTACTCAGCAAAGGCTTGACTGAATCAGTAAGTGGATATCATATTCTTCTCAGTGTAATGTTCTTTATACCTTAATGACTTTAAATGTCAGAGTCAGTCATGATATACAAGTTAGTTTTTAGTGGGCAAAAAGTGCCCAAATTATGTACTGCTCCATTTTTATAATTCTGAGCAAATATTAAGTGCTTACTATACATTCTGAAATTTAACATGGATTTAAAATTTTAAAACCATAGCACTTTAATTTGAAGGCCATGTACACAGGCACTATCACTCAACATAGTTTCAGTGATATTCCATGGACAGGGAACAGTTTTATTCATTAGTTTTCAAAAGAGGATTTAAAACAGAAATAAGCAGATTCATAGCAGAAGCAGTATCACTCCCAATGAATACAACTGACTTGGGATTTCTCCCACCCCCCCTTAGGTGAGGAAGGCATGAACTGCCTCTACCCACTCAATTTAGTTACTCCCAGCACAGTATCTGTGGGTGATGATGAGATGATGGAGACAGGTTTCCATGGGCTTCCTTTCCAGGTCAATCTAAGAATAAACAATACTAAGCAACTCTGTTCTAACCTCGGATCTACTGCAATCCTAACTTAGGAAGCTAGCAGGGTTCCATTACTCTTTTTTTTTTTAAAGATTTTATTTATTTATTTGAGAGAGAGAGAGAGAATGAGAGATAGAAAGCATGAGAGGGAAGAGGGTCAGAGGGAGAAGCAGACTCCCTGCTGAGCAGGAAGCCTGATGTGGGACTCGATCCCGGGACTCCAGGATCATGACCTGAGCCGAGGGCAGTCGCCTAACCAACTGAGCCACCCAGGCGCCCAGGGTTCCACTATTCTTTAAGAGCCTTGCTTTTTTTCCTCTGAAAATGAGATCACAAAGTCTATACCTCTTGGTGGACTTGTCCATTGGTGGGCCAGGAGGAGCACTGCTGGAGCCCCAGGGGCTGAGCGTTTCTACAACGAGCCAAGAACAGCCCCTGCCAATGGGCTCTGCTTGGCCAGAAGATGCCTGATGGATGCTATGACTCAAAATAACTCAGTGGATACCAGTCACCAAATCTAAACAGCAGTCACCATGCGGTTAGAGATGGCCTCTCAAGGATGATGCAAATGTGTCCACATGTTTTGATGGATCTACTTGTTCAGCCAGGCCAGCCATTACGGGGTCTGGCAATGCTCTTGCTTTGATAATCTAACCTGATCTGCTCCTCTCACCCACCCTGTGAGATAAGTGAGATGCTAACTATATTAACTGGCAGGCAACAGGGTAATTAGTCACAGGGTCCGAACTGGCTTATTACTGCCTGCTCACACATTCACAATGAAAGCAATTTTTTTTAAGTACACGGTCAAGGCAAACAGGAGTCACCTGGTATGGATGTAGCTGTTGAGAGTTAGCTGGGCCTCATCTTGAAGGGCTGCGATGGCGGCAGCATTCCGGAAACTTCTCAGCTCAGAACCACTGTGTGTAGGAACTAGAAACGAAGACGGGGGAAACTATGATAAGCAGCACAGGAAATGCAGATGGGAAGGCACCTCTCTGGAAATGGATGGCCAGCAGAACAGGTAGCACCCCCACCATGGAAAACGGGGCCAGCCCAGAGTATCAGCTCCCTTAAAAAAATCCCCTCTTTTTGCAATTATCGGTCTGGACTCTGAGGTGGCTGAGTGAGTGAGGTGGCAAACCTGGGGAAGGAGAGGAGGCGGGGGTTTGCGTCAGTTTACCAGCTTTGAAAGTGACGATGCATTTCAGACAGGCAAATTCGGTAGCATCTAACCGGAGTTGTCTAAATCGGGCCACCACCTCTTGTAAAGCTTGTATTTCAGATATGATCTTGTTCAGCTTCTGGGAATCTGTGTTGTCACCGTTCATGCCTAGAATAGAAATAGGGAATAAATGCTCTAATATGAGGGCATTTTCACGATTTAATATTGATTTTTGACAGAATTCTGCATATCAATATCTATTCAATTGTCACTCTAAGATATCTGATTCCCTGTAAACTGGCTATATTGTATGAAAGTTAATGTAAAATCTTCTCTTGGATGATGACAAACACAGTAATTTGCATTTAAATAACAATGCAAGCAGTCATGAATACAACAAAACAACATTATTTGCATTTAAATATAGATTTATAAGTGACAGGTATACTCTATTGTTCAGCAGGAATTTGTTATTCTTTACATGTTGTTCTTTTTTCAGTAATGTATTTTTATGGTAATTTCTACAACAAAGTCATTAAATTGTGCAATTCTTACCAGATACAGCCAGTAGAGTGTTAGCATCAACCGGAATGGCCCATTGTGCTATTCCTAGAACAAACAGTTCTCTCCAAGCATCTTCCAAAAGCATCAGCTGTCGTACAATAGATGTATAATATAATATAGTGTGTAATTTATAAATTTACAAACAATTTCAATATGTAAATTTCCATTATTTTAAAAAGTGCTTTAAATGCCTGTCTTGGTAATTTTTCCTCTGAATATTCCAGCTTTTCCTTTATTTTCCATATTTTCCTTTTTGAAAAGGTGCCTAGAGATAAGCACAGGCATCTGAGAGTCAGCCATTCCAATTCCCCAAACTTTGCTTCCTTTGAAAAGGGTTTACCCTTCTTGGCCTTGCATCTATTCATTCCCGACCACCTAGAAACTTCTCCAGAGACCCAGGCTCTATGAAATGCCACCAGCAGCTCAGCAGGCAGATCCCCTTCATATAAAATGCTGGTATTATCAGGGTTGAGGATTACAGACTAAGCGTGCAGATCTGGGCCCCCATCTTCCTAGAGGGTTGGGGGGCTGGGCTGGGAGAGAGAGAGAGAGAGAGAAAGAGAGATCACTAATTCCCAAGAGGCATGCAGGGAAATCAGGGTGTAATTATGTTAATCGGGTTTTGCTGAGTTTACCTCATCTCACTGCCTGATTTTTCTGAGACTCATAAGTGGACAGCATCAAGGTGCTTGTCATTTTCACTCTAATAAAATGTGCTACTGAATATTTAAAATGAAAATCTGGCTCCTTTTCCAAATTAAAATACTGGATTCCACTTCATTGCAGTTTGCTTGTTGTTGAAGGGTTTCCACTGAAGGGCTAAGTGGCAGACAGTAAGTAAATTTTGTTTGTATTAAAGAGTATACAAATACCGGTTTTCAGAGAAAGTAGCCAGTACACATGTGCGCGCACACACACACACGCACACACACACGCACGCACACACACAGCAAATGGTTAGAGTCAACCAGCAAACCTGGTCAAAGATAGAAACTAACTATTTTGAAAAAAATCTGTTTTTGAAAAATCTCTCAAAAACCAGTCAGTTCTGGATGATTTATGTGAAGGTATTTCCTTCTGGGAGCTAAGAGCTGAATTGTGAAGGCTTGTAACCAAAATCACAATCAGACCAAAAAGGTTTAATTTTGAAAATGCTTTATTTTTAGTTTTATTGCATTAGGTACAGAAAATAATACTTTAAAATGCAAGGTAAAGAATATCTAATTCTGATCATGTCTGAAAGTCCAGGCTATGGAAAAAAGAACATCCCATGCTAGAAGATTAAATGTTTTGAGCACATTGCTAGGTCTCTCTGTAGGAAACATACTTCAATATTAAAGGGCACCATTATGCTTTAATTAGGTATAAAATGAACTAAAGAAATAAGCCACTTGCTTTTCAAAACTACTTATTAGCCTTTTGAGAAATTTGTCATTAATTTTCACGAATGTACTGGTAACGGCCAATGGTTATGAACCCTTCGTTTTCTTTCTTTCCCTTAAGATTAGAAAAATTCTGGCAGAGGCTATTTCTGAGATCCCTAACAACAAAATTTCTGGCCTTTGTTACGATGTAATTTTAAGCAGCATATACTTTTTCTCCCTCTGACTGTCATTTACAACCACAGAATTATGCACAATGTCCATTTGTTTACAAAACCTCTAAAAGTACTTCAAGAACTAAGGGAGATCCTAGCCTGTAGGAGGTGTGCAATGCACCCCATAAGCGAACATGCTCATCAATTAGTGGTCAAGGTCGTGAGTATCACAATGGAAAATATAAAGCTGTGAACATAAAATAATGAAACTAGCTCTGAAAATCTTACAGGCGAATACTCTCATCACCTATTTCTCTCAGGTCCCATATTCTTAAGAAACATTGTTTTATTAGCAATTTTAAATGTCATTAAGATTTTTTAAATTTGTGATTAAATTGGATGTTTCAGTTAAACTTAAAAAGAAAAGAGAGATAATGTTCTTGTATATTTGTTTTTCATAGACCAGATCCAACTTTCCTGAAATAACATAATTACCTTTCTTAGTAAGGATTCCATAGCTAGATATTTTGAACCCATCGTAGGAAGCTAATAAAAATTGTTTCCTCGTTGCTGTTAAGAATGGATGCCTGGCCTTCAGGATTTATCCAGGTGACCTCCAGTTTCATAAGGCTGACCACTGTTGTTGTTGTTTTTTTTTCTTTCCCCAGTCCCCTTCCCCAAAAGCTCAGTGCCCTCTTGGTCATACCTGGTCCTGCAAAGATAGTGTGGAGAAAGCTGGTACACTCTTAGCCCACTTGATGCTCATAAACAGAAGCCTGGCAGCTGATTCACACACGGACTCTGTGGCCACTTCATACAGATACATTGGGGTCCCATTCACTTCATGGGGGTACTGAGCGGGGAAGAAAGAGAAACACCAGGGAGTGAGGAAACCACAGCTTTGCAGGAAGAGCCAAACTTTTAATTTCCTAATTAGAATAGGGAAGAAGATAGGCATTTGGATGTTCTGCTTAAACATGCAGTTGCCACTGGTAGACAAAAAACAAACATCTATATCTATAGAATTTGAGAAATAATAACCACTGGGAAAGGCCCATTTCCAGTCTTTGGGGGCCTGTTCCTTCCAGAGGGGCATCTGGCTTTTCTATCCCCTGCAGCAAATTTTCCTCCGACGGAGCCAAGTGCCAGGCCTGTCTCCCAATTTAGACAAGAGCTGCTTGCACTTGTGTAAATAAAAATAGATGTGAAAAAAGTATAAATTAATAGGCATCCCAAACACAAATATGCATATGAGTATTTTTAGAAAGGATTAGTATATTATGGAAATATTTCAATTAGACATCTTAATCATTCACAGAGCATTCCCATTCATAACTGACAACATATTCATAACACTACTTTCCCAAGCTTATTATACACATCAAGGGTAAGAAAGCAATATTAAATATTGTGCTTGTGCGTGTGCCCAGGTGTTTGGCTTCCCTGCAGTTTGGGGCTGCAGCTGGCCCTCCCCTTCGCGGCCTGGAGTGGGTGCTTTGGGTAGGTACCAGCTGGAAGCCTGGAAGGTAGTCCCTAGGTGGCAGCCTTTTGAAGTGGTTCAAGCTGTGGCCCTGCTCAATAGAGACTCAATCCTGGTACAAATACATGCATCTCAGAAGGGGGTGAAGGGAGAGCGGAAGACCAAGCCAGCTTCCTCAAACTGTCCTAACAGGTGAGCTCCACCTGTTGTTGCTGCATTAGGGACCCACAGCCTTGCCCCCAGAAAAACAGATCCCTGCAATCTGCCACACAGGGACTCTTCTCTGCCAGCTGCAGCCAACTCCTTTCTCCTAAAAACAGAAGTGCTCTTCTGGTCTCCGGAAATACCGAGGTTGCCCCTCAGTTCAGCCGGGACTCCACACCAGGGCATTGTTTAAAGGTGCGAATTCCTGGGCCCCACCTCAAACTTGCTGAAAGGGACTCTATGGGGGATGGGCCAGGGAGTCCACGTTGTAGCCCAGCTCAGAGAGTGACTCTACTGTCCACTAAAATTTGAACACTCCCGGCTTAACAGGGGAGAGGGGGGGACCGACAGCTCCCTGCACAGCCCGACCCCGAGCACCACGCGAGGTCGTTCTGTCTTTGGCTTGACCCCATCCTAGCTCCGGAGAGATGGGTGCCCCCCACACCCGCCCTCAGTTGGCCGCCAGACTCCCTAGAGTCCAGCAAGGGCACGGACCTTGGGCGTGGGCTGAGCCAGGCTCACGAGAGTCTGCCGCTCCGGGGTGGCGGACACAGCGGCCAGCTCCAAGCCGTGGGGCTCGAGCTGCGTGACGGCGGTGAAGAACGCCGGCGCGGGGAGCGCGGCCGAGGGGAAGTGCGCAGCCGCCCCATTCTCTTCCTTATGTCCGCGGAAGTAGAGGGCCACCTGCTTGCGAATGGTGGACGTCCGGGGCCCCCGCTCGTGCTGCACGGCTGCGGAGACAGACAGATGGGCGCATGCCCAGGATCAGAGACTCGACAACACCTAGCTGCTGCCGAGCTCCCGGGCCAAACGCCCCGTCTGCGCAGGCAAGGTCACTCAGAGGTGAAGAGGGGGAGGGGCAGGGATGGGTGGGCGGAGGGCGCTCTGCGATCTCACTCTTAACACGGCAGGCGTGAGGGAGCTGAGGCTGAGAAGGGGAGCCCGACCCCAAGTGTCACGATAATGGCCAAGCCTCCAGCAAGACTAGGTGTGTTCTCTTGTGCGTTCAGGGCTCTTCCCCACCCAGGGGAGGTCGCAGAGAGAGACCCTGGGTGGGGGGGGAGGGGAGTAGTTGGGTATCCTTGTCCCCGACAAAGGGGAGAGGGAGCACTGCGCCCAGCCCGGCACTGCATCCCTACCCAGACTTCTCCCGCTCAGCCCAACCGCCCCCCCGCCCCCACCTCCAGCCCCGCGGAAAGGGTATTTGGCCTCCGAGGGCCTCCGGAGAGCAGGGCCCTAGCCGGGGACACAGTGGGGGATGGAACGAGGGAGAGCCCGTCTTGGAGTGTGCTGGAGGAAGGCAGGGGAGATGTGACAATTACCGCCAACAGTTTAAACAAACAAATTAATTCAGGGCAATCTTCCGCTCGCAGAGCTTGACAACTTGTCAATACACAAGTTCAACAGGTTGGACGTTCCCTCCTGCTTCCTGCGCCGCTGAGGAAGGAGCTCTCCCCAACGGGCGCTGTGCCTCCTGGAGCTGCCACCCGGCCCGGACCGTGGCCAAGGCAAAGCCTCTCAGCATCCTGTCCTGAGGCCCTATTCCTCCCTCCCGGCCATGACCCCGGCCCCCCGGCCAGGCCTGGGGCGCCCTCGCCAGGCCACCACTGGGCACGCACTCGGCCTGCGCTCTCCGCCCGAGAAGCATCTGATGCCCTAGTTCTTGTTGAACGAGTTTAAGAGCCTTCTGAAAGTCGGGTGTCCGAGGCACCCACAGGCGTCGTCACCCTGCCTCTCCAGCCCCTTTTTGTAGAACCGAGAGAAAAAGCCCAGCTCGCCACAGTGGCCGTCCTGGTTTGGGAATCTTGATGAAGTAACAAACACGGGCTCGAAATTCCGCGTGCCCTTCCTCCTCCCGCACAGTCTCCCAGTCCCCACAGTCTCCAACCTCGGAGACTATCCAGACAGCGAGATCCTGCGGAAGGCTAACAGGCCTAGAGGTGGCCACAAAAGGGCTGCAAGGAGAGGTGAGAAGAGGTATTAGGACGTGAAGCCGGAAGTACCGCGCACGTGTGTGCCCAGCAGAGTGGGGTCCCGAGAGCGCTGTCTTCGTGGCGGTGCTTGTGGGGCGCAAGTTTCCTACGTGGGTGTGGGCCATACCTCCAGAGTTCAGTGGGGTGGGGGTGGGGGTGGGGGCTCATGCAGAGAGACGGAAGGATAAGACTGAAGGTCCGAGGCCAATTCCCAGCATCTGGAAAGAAGTGCTCCAGAGATGATTTACATGCATTGGAGTGCCATGTATTTTCTGTACATATAATTTACTTACTAGTCAACCAACATTAGAGAAATAAAAAGCTGTACTGATTACCATCTTTGTTCATGTTCACTTCCAAACACTTCTTCAGCCGACACGCCCTGCACTGGTTTCTGTGCGTCTTGTCCACCGGGCAGCCTCCCTGGAACAGAGCGCAGGCGGTCAGCGGGCCCCAGGGCCTTTAGACTGGAGACTCGAAGCCGGCACCGGGTCGGGGGAAACGTGGAGGCAGGAATGGACCCCGCCACCGATCTCGGAGCTGCAAGCCTGGGTCCGCGAAACTCGGAGGCCTTGGGCACCAGCAGAGCTAGGTTGGGAGAGGGCCAGGATTCCCCGGGGCTCCTTCAAAAGGAACAGCCCCTGACCCTGTGAAAGTGGATAAGGAGGAAAAGTCCTTCGCCATGCAAGTGAAGGGTCAAAGCGCCTGGTTTGCCTGACTCTGCCGTGTTGGGAGGAGAAGCTCTGGAGGGGAGCTTCCGCCAGGCTCGGAGATCGTGGAACAGGGACGAGACTTTTCAGGACCGAAGACAGCGACCTGGCCCCAGAGGAGGAGGCTTCAGAGCTCAGTTAGGAGCAGGCTTGTCAGCCAGGATCCCCACCACGCCCCCCTCCCGTCAGCTATTCTTTCCGTCTTCAGGTCTCGAGTCTACTTCTTTCTGTCACTTGGGCGGGGGGGGGGGCATTTATTTGTCGGATACATATTTCCCATTTATTCTTCACTCTCTTGTTTCCTCACTCCTGGCGTTGTACTTGAAGCCATCCTTATAACTAGCAGGTTAAAGTTGTCTTAAAGACTGGCCTTAGCCCAGATTCATGGAAACAGCCATTCCTGGAAGGTGAGGCAGAAGCCAGAGTGGTTAGCAGGGCAAGGCCTACAGAGGTGAGGATGGGAAGGGAAGAGCCCAAGGCCTGGGCAAAATCTAGAAATGCCCATTATGTAAATATGACCAGGAAGATAATGTGATGGACTGTCTGACAAAATGATAATATGGACTGAGAATATTGGCATGATAACTGGAAAAGAAGAGCTAATCACTGCCTTAGAAATATTTATTTGAGATACACGAGAAAAAATGTTCTACCTAATGCAATTTTCTGGAAAAATATTGGCTATTAGAAGAAGAAATTTACAGAGAAAATTTCTTATGGAATTCATTCAGTGTTAGGTGTTATTCCTGAAGGAACATATACATAGATACATAAAGAGTCATATCTACATATGCATTTTATACACCAAAAATATCTAAGAAGTTTCGTGCTCTCCTATATTTATATGACTTGCAACTGTTACAAGTACTGTAGGGATAAAGAGAATAAAATAAATGTATTTTTATTTTCCTTCATAATCTAAAAAATTCATATACTGTGAATTTGGGGTAGGCACATTTTCTGAAATAACCTTTAGGAAAAGATTACACACCTGAATACATTTTTTAAATGAGATCCCACCCTTCTGATTTAACATATGTTGAGGTATTTAAAATAAAGGCAGGGCAGAGGTTCGTAACAATTTCTATATGTCCTCATTACTGTTAATAATAAATTGGAATGTTGTTTATCTAGAAATAATTTTTGCTTTCTAAATGAATTCTTTAGGGCATCTTTGCTGGCCAGTGTAATAGCTCAATGTAAAGAGGGTTAAAGAACTCGTTATTAAATGCAATCGTATGTCTATCTTCATATGTTATCTTCCTAGTATTCTGATAAACAAGCTAATGCAAAATGGAAGCCTTCACTTGTTCTTAGGAGTGTCTTCAAATCAGATCACATGTATATAAATATCTGAAGCTTGAGAGAAAGATGAGTGCTTGAGCTCAGCCCATTTATTCTCTCTGCAAGGAGAGGACACCAAGCCTGATGAGTCTATTATCAGTCCTTTACAAGGACTTGGACTGATATCAATATGTTCGAATTGATAGCCAACCCCTTTGAAAATATCAAGCATCACATCTGAGATTTTGATTCCCTAATTCTGTGCATTGCATAAAATTAAAAGGTAATTTAAGTAGAAGCCTGCTCAAATCTGATGACCCACAGCAATACTCCATTCCTGCGGGGCTATGGGGATACAGTCCTGCATGTGTGTAATGTGATGTGTCCATATGGTGATCTAGAAACTGATACAGAGCTGTGTACCCAATTAAACGGGAACCAGGGCTGGAGTTCAAAATAACTTATCCAAATGTAAGTATCTTCTTATTTTTGTTGATAATCCAAATCTATTGGAAATTGATATGAGCAGACACAGCTTTAGAAAAAGAATAATTCGCTAGCTCCAGACAATATGTGTGTGTATATATATATGTATATCATATATAAATATTAATTAGTGAAGATGTTTTACCATTTTGGTTACCAAGGGATGACTTCTGACTAATACACTCTCCAGGGTCTTCTTGGGAGTCAAGGTGGTAGCTCTGTGCTGAGAGTCTGTGTGCCTGACCTAGGAAAAGGCAGTGTGGAACCAAAAGACTGGTCTCCCTAAAATGATCCTATTACTGAGCTGGAAACTGAGTCAGGGGGTCCTACTTTTCTTTCTGGAAGCTTTGGCTCACTCTCAGCCCGTGCTCTAAACTTCCTTGTCTTTTTGAGACCATTCTGCCTGCTCAAGACCAAAACACAACCAACCAGGCACATCTTCTAAACAGAGAAAGAGAAGATATGGGAGGCTTGGAGAGGATCCCAGTCACCCCTTCCTTGAGAGCCTTCTCTTCTTGCCCACTCTGCCCTTTCCTGACAAGGCCTAGCTAAAGCCTCATGGATGCCGAAGCTCCACTGCTCACTTCCAGTGCAGTCCTGCTTCTCCGAAGTTGAAAGGACAAAGCCCTTCACACAGCAAGTCCTGTGTTCCAGATGGCCACACTCACCTTGGGTGGCAGCCTTGCCTGGGATGCCTTGTGCCTTTTACTTCTGCCACGGCAGGTGGGGGTCAAGGCACTGAGCTGGGGCTGCTGCTAGGAATGGGGGAGCAGGGTAGGGTGTGGGCAACACAACATAGCCGTTCCTCCAGCTTGCAACGTGTGGTTTAGACTGTAAAGTTCCTTAGGCCTCCTGGGCTGGCTCTAAAGCAGCTGGGTGAGGGCCATACCCAGTGTCAAAGTCTGGGAGAGAATTACAAAAAGCGGGGTGGGGGGTGTGTGTGCAGGGAGGAGCCCGGATTTCAGATTTCCCCCTGCACACTCCTGTATCTTCCCTTACCTCTTCCCGCCTTTCCCACGCGGAAGGGCCTCTGAGAGCTGAGGCGGGAAGGAGGGGAGAGGAAGGGAGAGGTCAGGGCTCGGTCTCTCCTCAGCAGCTTGGAAACTCGGAGGAGGCCTGGGCACAAACAAAGGAGGGGGAGGCGGCGAAGGGGAGCCGGCAGCGCAGCCCTGGCCGAGGTACCTGGTTTCCAGATTTGCAGACATACGTCCTATTCCTTCGGATACTCCGTTTGAAAAACCCCGAGCAGCCGTCGCAGGCGTAGACCCCGTAGTGTTTCCCCGAGCTGCGGTCGCCACACACTTTACAGGGGATATCTAAAATACGGCCTGCAATGGCAGGAAAGACAGGCAAGGGGGGAAGGGACGAGAGGGAGGGCGGAGAAGAGGGAGGCAAGGGGGAGCGGGAGAGAGAGATGCTAAGCAATCTGACCTCTGAAGGGATTAGCACTGAAGCTGCGGTAAAAGCAAATAATGAAGTGATTTTATAGCCAAACTTTTTTTCCTTGAGCAAGTGTCAGTTTCCTACAATGAGCATTATTCATGCACCGCTACATGTATTTGGGTCTCTTCTAATCGCCGAGACCCATTTTGGAATAAAAGATTACAGCAGGCCGGGGCGGCAGCACGGCCCGCCGCTGCCTTTCTGCTCCGCGGAAAGTTTGGCCGCCTCCCTCCCCCGCTCTCGCATTTAACAGAGAAAGTTGTTAGCGCGCGAGGAGACAAACTTGAAATGTAAAAGGGGAAAGAAGAAAAACAAACACGGCTGGAACCGGGGATGGCAGCTGGAAGGCAATCGAGTTTTCTCTGAGCTGCCGGGCGGTTGTTATTATTAGGATTATTATTGTAATGCTAATACCAGGATTATTAATGATAATAAGGGTAGTGGTAATTGCCCAACTTTCGCTTTACCTATTTTAAAAAATGCTTAGTGGATCGCTTTTGAGAAATTATTTCTTTTAGGAAAAAAAGCATTTTCCCCCCAAAGTAACTAGCACCGGGCTGGGCGAAGGAGAGAGTGGCGCGTGCGCGGTTCCTTCGCAGGTTAGCGCGGGACAGCCACCCGGCCCTACTCCCTCCACTCCCCAAGTTCTTCCTCTGAGACCTACCTCCTCACACTAGATCGCGGGTCGGGTGGGTCCCTTCCTGCCTGTTTTTCCTCCGCTGTGGGAGGCTGATATTTTAAAGGAGCTAGCTGGTTTCTCTAGACTGCCCTCCACCCCTATTGGCCTCGACGGTCGCCTGGCTTAAGAGAACTTTTCTTGGAATCCCCTCAAGCCTGGGGTGGCTTCGGACCTCGGAGGAACGTTAGGGAGAGGGTGGTCTTCCAAAATTCAGGAGGGAGGGAACTCTTTTCTCTAAGGTTCAAGAGTCCAACCAGCCTGAAGCGATAGGGACTTAGAAATCTTTCCTCTCGCAAAGTATTAAAGTGGCCACACTTTGATAATAGTAATGATGGTAGTAATAATTAACTTCTTTACATTAAATTTTCCCGTTGCGACTCCACCCAAGGCCTCCAGTCTGGGCCCGGGAGGCCTCCGCCTCGGTGAAACTGGACTGTTGCTGTCTGGAGCACTCCCGTTGGGGAGCGCTATCAGGCTGGGGTGCAGGGAAGCGAGTAAGAACCACCCGGCCAGGGGAATAGAGGAGGCCAGGGCGCCACGTGGGGAGGGCCCCGAGGTCTCAGAAGTGGAAACTTGCTCGTGGATTCCGAAGCGTCCTGGCGGGCGCGAATCCTTGAGCAAGGCCCTGGAGGAGCTGCTGGGGGCCGGGAAGGAGGGGGGCATGGAGAGCCCAGCGGCCTGGGTGGGGGTGGGGGTTCGGTAACGACCAAGCTCGGCCGGGGTAATTACAACCCTGCCATAGCACCTGCCTATAGAGCCACCAGTGACCCGTCAAAAAGAGTAGCATGGGAATTCAGACGGCGACAAAGGCCGGTGGGGGAGGCGCGCCGCACCGCGACCACCGCCTCGGCGCTCCCTTTCCTGCAGGGTGGGAGGAAAGGTTGTGCTGGGGGGGGGGGAGGAAGTGGCTGGAGAGAGCCAGGCGAAGCCACAGCGGGGCTTGTCCCTCTCCCCCTTGGGCCTGTCGCTGGGCCCATGGGAACTCACAGGCACCCAGCAGCCTGGGACTTGAGCTCAGCTGCATCACACTCACGCTGCAAACAGTAAACTTGGTTTCCTTATTTTGCAACCATCCTTCCCAGCATGACACGCGCCCTCTGGCTGAGCTGAGGTCCATGTTTGGGATTCAACAATCCTGTCGCCCCAGCTGTCCTCTTTCCGGTGGCACTTTTGATGATGCCAAGATGAGGGCGCAGAAGCACCAGTTGTGGTGTTTCTCTCTCCCCCCCAACACTTCCCATCCAGACAGGAGGACAGGGCCACACCACATCTCAGGAGAACCCCATGGGGCGCAGGGAGGACCGGTGCGGGGTGGGTGACCGCTCTCCAGCTGGGGGCGGGGGTCAGGGCTCCTCGACAGTCACCCGGGGGGGGCCGCCACAGCTGCGGGTGGGTCCTGCCTCGGCGCAGACCTCCGGGGCCACGGCTCCCGGGGCAGATTAGAGGCCGGCCGACTCGCCTGGGGCGGGGCACAGGAGGGAGGGACGCGAAAATTCCGGGGCAGAGTGGGTCTGTGCCTCAGACTCCGCCACCCAGCCACGTTAAGGTGACTTGGGGTCACCAGACAAGCTGGTTGACCCCGTTGCAAAGCTCCTCTCATTTAGCAAACCGAGCGAGCTCCGACGTGAGGCAAGCGGGAGTTTCCTGAGGCTGGAAAACCGTTCTTAACTTCCCTCGCCAGGGGGTCCCCTCGGGGCTTTTTGTGTGTCATAATTGCCTAAAGATATATGGCAGCTTCGATTACTGTAATTACCATCAGAGGCTGTTGAAAGAAGTTAGTCTGGGCTGCAGGGGTGACTGGCCGGGGTCTTGTTACCACCCAGGCGGGGCTCCCGGGTGACATCGCTCTGCCCTCCAGCTGTGCGAAACCGAGCGAGGCGGGGGCTGCAGACCTCGCCGCCCGGCTCGGTCCTGACCTCGCCCGCTGCGCGCCGACCTCCTCGCCGCCCGGTGCCCGAGGGCCGCAGTTTTCGGCCCGGCTGCCGCCACCTGTCTGGAGAAGGCCGGGATGCAGCGGCGCCGCGGGAGGGGGCTGCCTTCCTGCGGGCCTGAGGAACTTCCCCGGCGGCGGCCGAACCTGCCATGGGTCTCAGGCTTCCGAGGCCGAACTCAGGCTCTTGGGAAGTTGGAGAGCGCCCAAATTTCCCCAGCATGTCACTCAGCCTTTTTTTTTTCCTGAGTCCGGACGGTTTGCCTGAGTCCCAGTCCACCAGAAGCGGGTGCGGCCCCCAGCGAAGGGAGCCGCGCGCCTGTCCCTTCCCTCTATTCCAAGGCCTCTTCTTTTCAAGCTCCCCCCGACACACACCAACCCCGGCGACTCCACACCGCAAGTGGACGAACAAGTCCGAGGCTCCTTACTTCTAGGAGAGGAGGCGAGGGCCTGTCACAGGGCGAGGTAGCAAGGAGGCCTGCCAAAGCCCGTGGGCTCTGGTTTTTGCAATAGAGGCTCGGAATGCAGCAGAAACGGTTTCCTTCTGCGCCTCTAGGAAGGACCTCACACGCCAGAACATGGGCCACAAAAAGCGAGCCCACCTCGCTTCCCTGAGAGGAGAGCAGCCAGGGCCAGCGTAGGCCCGAGGCTAACTGGAAACGCCAGGCCTCTGCAAGGCTCTGCTCGGATTTGGGCTGCTGCAAAGTTTCCTTCTCTCTTCCCCCTGCCCTAGTTTAAACATTTCTCCTTTTCTCTTTTTGTTCACGTTCACTTTACTTGAATTTTAAAAATGGTAACACCCAAACCAAAGCAACCGTTTAAAGTAAATTGCTTCCCCCTTAAGTGGGACTTCATCATCAGTCCTCAGAAGTATCTTGGATTCTCCCAACTTTCAAAGACTCGGGACAATGAGGGCGAGTGAGGGGAGGGGGCGTTTGAGGAAAACACGGAGTGCCCAAAATGCTATGGGCGAAGGCAACAAGGGCGGTTTGAGAACTCCAGGACGTGGGGACTGCGACAGGGGCCACCCTCAGCCTTGGGCCCCGGAAAAGGCAGCTCCGGGCCACCGGAAGACGAGAACTGACATGCCCCGGGGAGATCCGAGCCTTGCGACAACGCCCGCCCTACGCGGGCTCGGGCCTCCACATTCTCGGGTTCCGCTGGCACTGGGCCCGAAGATGCCCTCGCACACACACTTAGCCCCGCACTCTGGCGTCTAGGGGCAGTTAGACATCAGCCGCGGCTCTGCATCCTGAAGGGGAGCCCCCAGCTAGGCAAGTTTGAGGAAGGAGAGGAGCGCGCGAAGGGAACAGGCCGCACACTCCTGCCTCGGCCGAGCTCCCGCTCGAAAAATCCTTGGGATTAGGGATTTGGTCCCCTCTTTGCTAGAGCGGTTCGCCATACTTTAAATTCCCCAGTTATGACCTACGCGGATTTAGGATTAAGGAAAATGTGACTTTTAAATTGTTTCTGCTTCCCAGTTTGCAGGATTATTTGAAATAGCTAGAAACGGGGTGCAAAGCATTCCATTCAAATCCGCTTTGCGCAGAGTTGCTTTTGCGCGCTGGAGCTCGGAGTTTTGAGCGAGCGTGTTATTGTGCTGCCGCCTGGAGCTGCGGCCTAGTTCCCGCCCCCGTCACCCCCGCCCCCCGCACCTGGCGGCCAAGCGGAGACAACTCGCGGGACTGTGGGCAGCATGGGTCTCAACCTTCCCACCATACCAGGGCGGGGGGTGGAGGAACAGGGGGAATCAAGCAATCCAGAGGTAACGAAATTCTTCCCTCACCACGAAACATCCCGACTCACGGTCTATGAGGAGCTGGGCCAAAGCGCACTCGCCGCCGGAGTCCCTTTCCCGGGCTCGGAGCTGCAGCGCTCAGGGCAGGACTCCCCGGCCTCCCCTCCCGCCCGCCCCAGGCTGCGCTCCTGAGCCCCGCGGCGGCCCCAAAGGTACCCACTTGTTGATCCGGCCGGCTTGCTCATGCTGGCTGTCCCGGGCCGGAGCGGTTGGTGGGCGCTGCCCGAGTCCCGGCCGGCAGCGCCCGCCTCGCCGCCGGGCGCCGCCGCTCTCCAGCCGCCCTCCAGGCTGCAGGCTCCCGGGCCGGACAGGTGGGTGTCGGTTGCGCGCTGCGCTGCTCCCCGGGCGCTCAGAATTCGTTCCACGGTGGGAATTCAAGCATCCTCAAGTTTCTCCCCCGCTCTTGCAAAACCGCAGCTGCTGGGAATGTTGCTTGGTACGGACACACGCATGGACAGACAAACGGAGAGAGGACAGGCGGATCGAGGAAGAAGGGAAGAGGACAGCAAGAGAGGAATAGTGAAGGACAGAGATGGAGACACGAAAATGGTCTTCCTATGGAGCAAAAAGGACAAAATCCCTCTCTTTCCCCATTCCTGTCTCTCAGTCTTCAATTTCTCCTTCTACATTTGGCATGCGGAGTGTGGCCAGATCTCTACAGACCGCTGCTCTTTTAAGGAAAGAAGGAAAACACAACCGCGGTCTCGGGCAGATGGGCTCCGCGCGGCCCAAACCTGAGAGCCGAGTGGGAAACTAGATTGCCGGGAAGTCTTCCGAGGGAACAGGCGGCCAGCTCCCAGTTTCCGGGGAAAGCCGCGCACAGAGCGGCAAAGGGTCCCCGAAGTTCATTACCCCGTGACTTTGTGCTTGTCGCTGCGGGCTGGGTCCCCAGTAATATCTCCAGAAGCGCTCTGACAGGCAGCCGCGGGGAGGGGAATAGGGCGTCCCTGGCCCACTTAGCTTTTCCCCCAACTCCTGGCGGGGTCTGACGTCAGCCATGTGCGGGGAGGGGATGGGAAGAGGGAGGGGGTTAAATGCTAATGATATTAATGAACCTCCAAGCGGCTCCGAAAGAAAATGCAGGCGCTGTCGGAGCTGACGAGTTAGAGTGTGAATATGGGACTGTGGCTCTGTGCGTGCGTGATGGTGAGGACGGTGCTGCTCTTGTAATAAAAATGAATTATTATATTTCATGGCAAGAGGGAAGGGGAGGGGAGATGGAGCATTCTCAAAACGCTCTCCCCCTTTTCTCCAGAGCGCCAGACAGATTCGTGGAAGAAACTGGGTGGCTGTGTGTTTTGTGTGTGATTGTGCGCACCGGATATGGCCATGTGAGTGGGTTCATTCTTGGTCCCGTGCCCCTTCTGTTGGGTAAAACTTGGATCTGGTCCGAGGTGAGTAATTATTCATTTTGCAACTACCTACGGAAAGTTGTAGCTGAGGACGCTGTGCGCGGACTTGGGGCCCGGGATGGGGTCTGCGGGAGGCCCCGCGTTCCTGCGGCCTTCGCGGAGTCCGCTTGGGCACCAGCTGCGGGGAGGGTGCCGCCCGCTCCCCAAAGCAAAGCCCATCCCGAGCAGAGCGAAGCGCCGGTCGCCTCCATTATCTGCCCTGGAGCGACTGGAGGGCAGAACTTTCCCTCCTGCAGCTCAGCCCCAGAAGGCTTCCCTGGCTCCCCCTCTCCAGGGAGCGTCCGGGATTCTGAAGAGCTTCCTCCGCCTTAGGCCCCCACCCCTCCCGCCAGCCTTCCCCCGATTCCTATGCTCTCGCGCGCCCTGGTCCCTGCGCCGCGCCGAGAGAGCGCACGCCGAGGGAGCGGTGATCCCCGATCTCTAAGAGATTAATTCTTATTTAAGCTCTCCCAGCAGCTTGAACTTGTCGAACAAGAGCTTGCCAGGCTGTCCTCCGGGCGGGGGCCGGCTAGAGGTCAGGGGTCACACCTCCTGCGCTCCCGCCCTCCGCTCCGCGTTCGGGGAAGGGGGGACGGGGAGGAGAACTGAGATCCGTGCTCCGCAATTCTACCCGCCCTCCCCTAGCCCCACTTTCTCCAGACTCAGGGTCAACCCGGGCTTTCGTTGAGAGTTTGAGTGTGCAAAGTGAGTGCCTGCGTCCCCCGAGCCCTCGGAGGGCGCAGCAGCTCCTCCACCCGGCGTCTCCGGGGCGCAGGCTGTGCGCTCCTGTAGGCGGCCTCAGCACGTGACTGCAACTTTCCGCAGCAGCCTCCGCAGGGCCTGGAGTCCCGGCCTGCGCTCACCACACACTTGAGAGCCCGCGTCCTCGCCAGGGTCCTAGGGACACCCGGAAAAAGCAAGAAAGGGGACGGCTATTTCCCAAGTTAGCCCTCCTCGGTTTTTCGTATTGGGACCAGAGTGGGGAATTGTGGGACAAAACCATAAACCTGAGGGTATTTTTTTTAGGAGACAGGACAAGAAATCAACATTTTTGACAGCTAAGTTGGGCAGTGTACTGGCCGCATACGCGAAATAGTACAAACTTGAACTCCGCGCCCAGAAAGGGAACTGATTTCCGGGGCGTCATTTGAGAAACACAGTTACTGTGCCAGGCTCGCTTTTGGAACCTGGGGTTCTGGCTCCCACCAGAAACCCACTTGCCCCCCGCCCCCCGCCGCCACCGACGCCGCGGCCACCACCACCACCATCACCATCACCACTGTCACCACCATCACCACCATCACCATCATGTGGTCGCAGAATGGGGCGCTTGGTTAAGAACAAAGAACAAGATCCAAGTATAGTAATGTTTTTCGGACAAAAATGAAAGCCAATGTCAAAGACTAGACCTAGGCCTGTCTCCAGGGGAAAAGTTTAGGAGTCTGTGGCAAGAAGGAGACCTAGAAGCGGCTTTTGGGAGGGATGGGGGGCTTGGAGGTGGGACGACTATGGTTCTCTAGGGGTCCAAACTACCTCTTCCCCTATTCCCCGACATTTTTGCCCTGCTGGCTCATTTGTGGGCACCAAAACTTGTGGAAAATACTCCTGAGGCTCACCAAATTGTCTCAAAATCAAAATGGGAATGCCTCCCTCTTTTTCCTGTCACCAGTCCCTAATCAAGCAGGGTATCCATCCAGAAAGCCACTGAATAGAAACACACACACACACACACACCATCCCCACCACCACACCATCCAGCCCTGGCAAAAGGCACAACATGCGCACACACACCCGCAGCATGTTCGTCCTGTGTTCTGCGCGCCCGGCTGTAATTATCCACGCGCTTTGCATAAATCACAATGCAATTCTGAAATCATCATGATGACTTTCTGGCATGATTGGTTCAGTGGCAACGGCAGCTACAAGATCCAGGGTTGGTGGGAGGGGCTGGGGCGCGGCCGCCCACCAGGTCCAGGAGGAGCCTAGAGCCCAAGTGCCTGCAGGCTCATTGGAAGCTGCTGCAGGCCACAGGGACCTCGGATCTAAGGTGTAGAAACTTGGGACTCTCACTGGGTGCAGCTCAGAGAAGAAAGCCTCGACAAGACAGACTGTTACTTTCCATCTTCCTATCAATGCGCTTCATAGCTGAATTATAGCTGCATAAATGCTGGGTGAATAAATAAAGGAGGAAAGTCTCCCGCAGAATTCCCAAGAAGCCCCTCGGGGCACAATAAGGCTAACCACTGGAAGCCAGCAGATGGGGGTTCAGGCTCTGTCCAACTAGCTGTGTAACCTTGGGCAAGAGCTGACCTCTCTGGGCTCCAACCATCTGCAAATGATTCAACCTTAATTTTCAAAGATTCTTCCTGTGAGTCCAGGATGGGAAATAATTGCTAAGGGGCAACTGTCACTTATCTCAGAAATACTTTTTTAACAGAGACAAGTTCAAGGATGAGTTTATAGCAGTCATCTTGGGGAGGGAGTGAAGCCACATCCCGGAGGTTCTGAAGCCCTTCTGACCAGGTCTAAACAAAGCCAGCCCCTAACTTCCACTTTAGTCTTGTGTGAGTATGGGACTCTCCACCAAACCAAAACCAAAAACACAAGGAAGGCATCTTTTATTACAGGACGTTTATATTTTGGCCGAGGAGATAAGAAATAAAATCACAAGAAGGACCATGGACTCTAGGGGTCTCTCTGCCCATCCATCAGTCATCACCCCCTTCATCACATACTGAGTACCCACTATGTGTCAAAGATTAAGGACATGATCCCTTTCTCAAGGAGTCTACAGAGAGAGCAGACACATAAAAGGTGCTAAATACACTGGCGTGGACTGAAACACGGGACCTTCTGGAAAAATACACCAGGGGCCCTAAACCAGTGTGGAGTGGAGTAGGCTGTCAAGGGATGCCTGGGAAGCTGGTCTTGTGGTAGGGGAATGAATACACTGCTTCTGAAAATAGTCTTATATTATAGCTTAACTCTCCCTTACTCCATTACTCTTCCTAATGCCTCTTCCCATCCATTTCAAAAGGGAAGTAGAGACCTGTTAACTAAATGGTATAAGAGAGACAGGGGTGCAAGGCGTCCCTCTAGCATCAGGTTATCTGGGTCTCACCCCTAGCTCTCTATTCACTAGCGTCGCTAAAAATGGTGCCATTTTCTCCATTAACTGTCCCTCCATCCATTCTTCTACATTAAAACAGCAAAGGAAAAAGAAAAATCTTTTCCATCAACAAAAACAGCTGAAGTTGGTGTGGAACAGAGAGATAGATGTCCTCCCCAAACAATGATCAACCCCCTCTCAGAGGCCATTCTACCTGGAGAGATTCATTCCTTTGAAATGCCCTTCACCTCACTGACAAGCAGAGTTGAGAAATGCCCAGGCAGACCCAGAAAATGGCTGAGAAAACCTACCAGTTAGGCTTGGCTAAGGTTTGATATTCAGTCTCCAAAAGATGCTCAGACACAACTTTTGTTTATTTATTTGTTTGTTTACATGAGGAAAAAGTTGATTTTCATTGCTTCCAAATCCTAAGTCAACCTATGGTTGGTTGTTGCTTTCCCAGTGGATGGGGACGATTGTCAGCACAAAGTATGTGCTCAGTGAGGGCTTGCTAAGTGACAGAATGAAAGAAACCATCTCGTCAAGCTTGCTCCTGATTTTGCTGTGGGCCTCTCTATAAGTTATTTGGGTCCTATCTAATTCTACTCAGAAAAGACACACCGAGAACAATCCAGAATAGAGACACAGATGCTCTAGAACCCAAATGGCGCTGAATTGTGGAGTTTTTTTTCCTTGACGTTTTCCAGGACTGTGTTGGGTAAGAGCTGTCTCTTACTCCCTCCCAGATGGGAAGATGAACACTGTTAACAGTAACAGGATTAAGACAATGCTTGGTGTGACAGGTTTCTCTTTCTTCCCCCTTCACAAATAACATTGTCTCTGCGTTCACTCACACCCTCCCTCCCTTGGAGCCACAGCAGCTGAAGAAATTCAGGTCTACAGACAGGCTGAGGATTAGAGGTTTCTGCTTCTGAGTCTTTCTGTACTTGGATATTCTTCTTGCCCCAAGAATAATCAGATAGAAACACCTTTCCCTCATCTCGTCTTTTATTTCCTACATAAAATATCTTATTCATTTACATTCTGCCTTGGTGCCAGAAGAATTTACCATGGCTCTCTTGTCAAATTGCTTTAATTTGGGACCTGGGCTCCCTCCCTAAAAGAGGACTCACTTGAGATGTACTTAAAACAAAAGCAACCAAAGATCGTGAACAGAAACATAGGAGCAAGAAAATATTGTGGTCTCCTTCTCCTCCCCCCAGGAAGATGGGTCAACAGAGGCAAAGCTGTCTGCTTCTTATTTCCTAAGGGCAAGAGTAAGAGGTTTAGAGGAGCCATAAGAAATACTCAGCTCTCCAACTAGCCAGGGAGCTCCTTGAAGTAGAGACTACCTGATTCATCTCTGGATTGCCCGTGCTCGCACTCTGGTACATAGTGGTGCTTTATAAATGTGGAATGTGTAAGTGACCATGCCTCGTGGTACTCACAGTGAAAGGTGAGCATTGAGGTGGGGGGCTTGCCTTTGCTCTGCCCTAGCAACCCAGCAACGGGAAGGGTAGGGAGTAGAGACAGGTCCTCTAGACCTCCAAACCATGGGAAGCAATGCAGGTAATTTTTTGGCTTTCTAAAACAAAAGAATGACTAGAGAGACGAGAAAGCAGACTATGGCCACCGAGGCTTCTTCAACCTCTTCATTTCCTGTCAATTACACAGTCTGACTTGGTTTCCATTTAGCCCCAAATTACAGAGCACACAAGTCAGAAGGGACCTTGGAGATCAGTACTCATCTAATTCCATCATTTCACAGATGAGAAAACTGAGATCCTTAGAGACAAAGCTTGTCGTAGGTCACTCACGTAGAGACAGAGGCTATTGCCAGAACCCAGATCTCTTGATGCTGAGTCTAATGTTCTTTGAAATATTAATTCCCCTGCATTGAGCTACCTCCCATTTCCTAGAAGGGCTTCTAGAAACCTCCAATTAAGGCAATTTCACTCACTTACAAGTGAAGTAATCAGAATTAAGAGAAGTGTTGTGTGCATATCAAGGCAATAGTTCGGTATTTCTAGAACTTCAAACTCCTCAACCTCACAAGGTTTTCTTGAAATTCCCTCTCTGACGGTCATTAAAATCTGCTGTGTCCCAGTGGAGAGCAAACTTGTGAGGTCTTTTTCTGTTTTGTAGACGGAATGATATGAGCTACAAGAGGAACTACTTAGAGATACTAATTGTAGATGCTGAGAAAAAGTCAATGATTAGACTGAACAATTAATTACTAAATTTGATCGGTGTAGATTGCCAATCCGGGCCTTTCAGATTTTAAAAACATCCCTCTATTCCCTCCACAGCAGGGACCTGCTTTATCCAGATTACTGTTTCAACACTAGTAGAAACAATTGTTATGTAAAACGGGGTAGCCCGTTGAAATGTGGCTAACATATTTGAGAATAAGCTACGATTCTTTATTCCATGAATAAGGATATCAGGATCACATATTTGATCTCTGCCAATGCAATGAAAAGCATCATACATTCTAGTATGCTTTGTTTCCAAATGATCTAGTTCACACAGTACCCTGTTGTCCTCCTATTCTAGTAAGTAATTTCAGAATTCACATCACTTACAAAGATGCCGAGTGGCTATTTAGGGAAGTCTGATTCAAAAAAAAAAAAAAAAAACCCTCCAAAACAAAACAAACCTCCCCCTCTCTTCTCCCTCCCCCAAACCCCACGCGCTTTGTGTAAGACGGAGTCAACCAGTGGGATTCACAGGAGGTCCCCAAGTCAAATGCTGCAGCTGCGTTTTTAAAAAGGGTTGGATAAACTACAGCCGTTAATAACATCTGTATCTATGCAAGCTAAGATGATGATAGGGGTAATCAGATCTCATGCTTCAGGGCATAAGATGATTGCCTGCTGGGAGGGGGAGGATCTGGCCTTTCAGGTAAAGCAGTTTACAACTCAGGAGGTAGGCTGCAGACATTTCTCCCAGTTTCTAAAATTTCAGGTGTAATTGACATGATTTTAGAGTAGATGAAACAGTGATTTGAAATCAGATCAGGATGTTGAATAATGAGATATTTGAAATACCCATATACATCACACGTAACATATGTGTATCTTTCTATAGATAAGATACAAATATTTGGATGTCCTTTTTTTTTTTTTGAAGGCTGAGTTTCCTTGATATGTTTTGACCATCTTTTAGTGCAAAGTGGGTGTTTAATAAATGTTAGCAACAATGAAAACAGTGGAAGTAAGTCAACTTTAGTCCATGCATTTACGATTAGCTAAAATAATATATAATTAGCCAAGTGTTCATAACTGCACCTAGTTGGATCCCTAAATATATCTATTTCCAGTTGTATTAGCTAAATAATGATTGAGTTGCATGTTTGGAGTGTACAAGGAATGCATTCATTATAATGTCCTGGTCGCTAAAGTAATTTTTAAAACTTAGTATTTGTCTGGAAGTGAGAAGGGAATTATGCAAGATAATCTTACCTTCTCTTTTGATTTCTGTAACATTTTCAAACCCCAGGAGGGGTACACTTTAGTACAGTTGCACAATTTAACCAATTTTAAAAACACTTCTGCAAGTGTGAGCAGGGTTAAAGAACTCCCTTTATTTAGACATGTCAACCCATACTGCAGGGCATACAACGTCAGACAGCTGTCCACATTTCAGAGAGGTGTAGAAGCTTTTGAAGGAGTAGGTTTCTAGCAGAGTGGTTAGAGTCCTTTTGGCATGAAAGACATTCTTGCTACTGGCTTCATCATTATTACTAAGCCATTCACTTCTGTTCCACACAGAGGGACTGTTCTGAAGGATATGGCTGTTAAATGCAATTTTTAAAATGATGCACATAAACAGTTTTAAAGGGGGAAAATCCTGCAGCTGTTTGGCTGCAGACAGGCATGGGAAATTAGTCAGAAGCCCAAAGCATCATAGTTAATAACCATTATTCTGTTGTCTGGGATGTTTGTTTAAATACTATTGACACTGTGTATGTATTGTCATCTTCTCTAAATTGTAGCTCTTAGCCACTGAAATCTTGTTAAAGACCACCTAGGGTTTCCTCTGTATGATGCTGAATTGTGTATTCACCTGATGGATAAACAAAAACCAGATTTTTTTTTTTTGTTTCAATTTTTCTCTCATGTACAACTAGCAGGAAATTTTCTGGAGTAAAGAAAGAGATTGCCTAAGTACAGTAGAAATAGCCGCTGTGGGGTCCCAACCTTCGTATTTCTCCTCTCGTGATAGAAAATGAACAAATCCATCAACTGATTAATACAATTCAGTTCTGCTTAAAATTCACAGATCTGTTTGGTATGAGACTGTATTTTAAAAGACTCATACTTGCCATTAAGTGTGAAGAAATCAGTAACTATTCTTTTCATCAACAGCATGTTGGTTTTTTTTTTTTCCTCCCCATTTCGATTTTGCTTATTAAGTGAGGTCATTTGAGAGAAGAGCGGCTCTGGTGGTGGGTGGGAAAAAAAAATTTAACAGCCTGACTCCCAAGTTGAGAGCTTCAGATCATGGGCCATTCAGTACAAAGCGTTTTATATCTTGACTTATGAGGGGACAATAGCCGGTCTTACAAAGACACCACCTGTGATTTAGCACGGTTGACATCTTTGTTAAGGAGGAGCCAGAGGGCAGAAGAGAAAACAGCACGTGCACAATCCGGAACTTGTTACCAAGACCCACCTTCAAGGTCTTTTCACAACGTCGCCGAGGCCGCGTCCGCGTCAGGTTTTTTGTTTTCTCTTTTCTTTGCTTAGAGGTTTTAAAAAAGGAAGTGGGGAGACAGAAAGGAAATGAACGTTATCCACGCGAATTGACCCAAAGCTCTGGACTTACGGCTTGCCAGCGCCAAGCGGTCCCATTTTACAGATGGGTAAATGGAGGTCAGGTCCGCGGAGTATCTGGCTCAGCAGGTGCGCGGGGGGGGGGCGCTGGGGACCCCCGCCGGGGTTTGGGGCGGCCCGGCTCGGGGCGCGGAGGGCAGCGCTGCCGCGGAAGGGACGTCCAGTCCCCGTCTCCGGCCCAACCTTCGGGCCGGTGGCTTTTTGCTTCCTTCCCGAAGGTCGTTTCTGACAAATCTATCTATTTGGGGCAAATTGTCAGTGAGAAACTTCCGCTCGAACTGCCCTGGACAAAACCGGCTGTTTGAAAAGGGTAAATCCCGCGGCCCGGCGAGGCGAACAATGGGTCGCTGGTGCTGCGGCGGCGGGGGCGGCCGGGCGGGCCGCACAAAGGGCGGATTAATTGGGGCCGCGGCTGAGCGGTTCGCGCTAGCTCCACTCAGCCCGCGCTGCGGGGCGCCCCATTGACTGGGCCCCGAGCCCCACTTTTCACAAACTCCAAACAAAAGTCAATTTCTTTTTTATAAGGCGGGGGAGGGGGCCGCAGCCAAGATCCTCCACTTTCTCCTCCGCCACATTCTTGCAGCATAGGGGTGAGGGGGGTGCTGGAGGGAGAGGGGTGAAGGGGAGCGGAGGGGATTGGAAAGGGACGCGGGTGTGGCTACCGTGCGTCCCCGTTTCTGCCTCCGCTGTCCTCCGTCCGGACCCGAGTCGTGCCCTCCTGGTCGCACCTAACTTCTAGGCAGGAGCTTAGAACCTTGCGGGAGGCCTAGTAGCCGCCGAGAAACACGGATGGGGTGGTCGCAAGGGCGCAGGTGAGGGCTGGGCCACCGAATTGGGGGAAGGATAAGCAGGTGATTTAGGAGGAGGGGAGAAAGAGGCCCGCTAGGTATTCTAGACCTCGGGAGGTGTGACCATTCATCAGATATTTATTGAGCGACTACTTTGTTCCTAGTGGGGTGGGGGGAGACAAAAGCGAGTTTGCCCTCAGTTTATACACAATTGGGAAGGCTGACTCCCAAATCAATTAGCAGGTGGGGAAGGGGCGTGCCCCAGCCGGGCCCCAAAGGAAGGCTCCACCACCATCCTTCTGTAAAGTTATGCCCGTGTAACATCTGGAAAAAGAGATCTAATTACTTTGTAGACACACCCTACTATGAGAAGTGGCAGTAATTAAAAACTGTAGGGTTAATATTGTGACGGTCTGAAGACCAAGTATGGAGGGACCAGGAGTTCATCTCCTCTGTTTCTCTCCTTTCAAGATAGGAGAATGAGTGCAGAGGGCTCTTCAACGGACACTGAGAGGGGAAGGAAATCCCTTTAACAATAAAACTCGATGCATTCCCCAGCCTGCAAGCCTCTGTTGTAAGCTGGGTAGCCAGTGGTTGCATACCGGACACCCCAGTCCTTGTGGTTAGTGCAAAGGCCACATTCTTCTTGGAGGACCGGCTTTCCAAGTGAATCAACAGAGAGGAGGGACCACGTGCTGGTGCAAGGGAAGCCATTTGTTGATGGAGGGCTTGAGCATGTGCTAACAGATTATATTACAAGGTTTTTATTTTATGGGAGTTACTTCTGCTCAGGGATCAGCAGGCACTTGTGTGCTCTACGGCTGGTGAATTGAAGTCTTCAACAGCTAGGCTTTACTATAGAGACCCTTCGAAGGCATCAGGCCAGGGTATTGGCACGCCTCTAGGCGGGCACGGAGAAAGGGAGCTCTGACGGCAGGTACTGAATCTGTGGTGGGCTCAGTGAGAGGGGTGAAAACAAGCCTTGAAGGCCTGGCTGAAACATGGCTGGAGGCAGAGAGGGCTAGGCACTGACATCCGGAAGCAACAGCGGCAGAGGGACCTGCTGGCCGAATTCAGCCTGGACTCCTTTTTACCCACGGTGTAAACTTGGAGATTTAAAATGATCCTTTCTGGGCCAGACTGTGAACCCTTCCAGATTTCCATTGAGTCAGAGGCTGTGAAAATCAAGGGCAAATATTTATCTAAAGATGTCACAACTTTGAATCTCAATAATAATTTATCGGCTAATCTCTGATGGAAATCTAGAACAGCTGTTACTCCATTGTGTATTTTGAATTTCCAAAAAATAAATTGGGGTATCAGTATTTTTCTTCCACCAGTTCTCAGTATGCTTTCTTTTAGTTGACTGACGCCTGTGCAAGTTCAAAGCGAAGAAACGATAGAACCTTTTGCTTATTATGAAAGTTATTAAAGCCTACCAAAAATATATTTAATGTTCAACTTTTATTGGCAAGTGTGACAATGCTGAGTGTGTCCATGCCAGCGAAAACTGAGTGAGCGTGGAAAGATTGAGATGTTGCATTATTAGGAAGAAAAAAAGAAAAAACAAGTATGAATCAGAGTGATGAAACTTCCAACATCAATGTGTAGGTTTAGACAGAACTGATGACAGACTCCACTGTCTATTAATGGAAAGCTTATGACCACAGCTTCTAGGAACCCCCAGCACGGTTGCTTATCATTTCTGTTTTACAGAAGAAATTCTTTAGGGAGGGGGACACAAGGTGATTTTAATAAGGTCCACCCATGAAAAGGGTGACATACTAGCATCAGGCCGTTCCATCAATCTGGTTAGCGTTGAAGCCTTTGAGTTACTCTCTGTCTTTTAGAAAGAATTATTCTGGAGTCATTCGATGTGAACATCATTAGAGGAAAAAAGCTCCTGGAGATCTGATTATAATTAAACCTCTTTTTTTTTTTTTCACTTATACTTGCTGGCTGAGCAAACACTGCTGGAAAGAAAGGATGATCTTGGTATCCCCCATCTTAGGTTGCCGGAGAAGTACAGGAATCTGAGCTCTGATAATGGCAGAGCCCGGGCAAATACAGCACTAGACCTAGAATATGGTAGTCATGTGCCAAAAAGAAGGAGCGCTCAATTTGGGAGTGGACTAGATTTAAATCAGTAAGACAATGGCATTTTCCTTGAAGAGGGAAAAGGCTCCAATGGCTTTTCCTTGAAGAGGGAAAGCAAAGGAGACATAGTCCTTGAGCCTTGGTATGGTAGCCAAGATTCTGGAAATAAAAGAGCTAACATTTGATTGTGAAATGTGTCATACATATAAAATACTATATGAATGTATCTGTACAATTTAAAGCATGAAATAAAATAAATGCTCATATCCTAGCAGCTACATTTTAAAAATAGAATCTCAGTAGTATCTGAAAGGAGACTTTGTGCCCTCTTGGATTGCATGTCTTTTCCCCACCAACACATACCAGAAGTCATCACCACCTTGAATTGTGTTTTGCTCATTTGTTTACTGTCTTTACAAGTTTACTACTCATGTATGTATCCCTAAATAATATAGTGTAGAGTTTTGCTTTTTTAAAACTTTATATAAACAGAAGCATACATTATATTGTCTGTAGTGAAATGTTTTTTTCTCCCAACACTATGTTTAATGTTGGCATTAAATTAATTGTGGTACGTTCATACAGTGTGGTTTCTTCATTCCCTCTGTCGTACGGTAGTCCCTTGTGTGAGCATGCCACAAGCAGTTGGTCCTCACTGCTATGAAGAGACATTTGGGTTCTTCCCTTCCTTTCCCTTTCTTTCTCTCTCTCTCTCTTTCCTCCTTTTTTTCTTTTGTAATTATAACAGATGCTTCTGTGTGTTTCTCTTGTGCATGCTTCCTGATATGCACATATGCCAGAGTTTCTCTAGTATATAAACCTAGGTATAGAATTGCTTTCTTCTTCTTCTTCTTCTTTTTATTAGAGAGAGGGGGAGGGAGTGGGAGAGGGAGAGAGAGAGAGAGAATCTCCAGCAGACTCCCTGCTGACCTTGGAGCCCAACGGGAGCCTCCATCCCAAGACCATGAGACCATGACCTGAGCCAAAATCAAGAGTCTGGTCGCTTAACCGACTGAGCCACCCAGGCACCCCTGGAATTGCTTTCTTATTCAATTTTACTAGGTACTATCGAACTGTTTCCCTTAATGGTTATATTAATTTACACTCCTACCAGGAAGTGATATGAATTATTGTTGCTTCCCATCCTTGTCAACACTTACTATTGACTTATTTTAAAACTTTTGTTATACATATGGGAGGAATATCTCTTTGTATTTTTAATTTGCATTTCTCTGACTCTTAATAGGGTTGAGTATTTTTCAGGTGTCTGTGGGCCATTTTTATTTTTTCTTTTGTGAACTATGTTTGTAAGTTTTGCTATTTTCCCATTAGGTTGTTTTTCTCACAGGAGCTTTAAAAAATCTATTTTGGCTAATAATCCTTTGTTTTGATTATATGTATGGCAAATATTTTCTTACCTTTAGTGACTGTCTTTTCACTCTCCTTCTAATGTCAGTGAACCAAAGTTTTAATTTTATGTGGTAGAATTTATCAGTATTTTCCTTCATAAGTTGGTAATTCTTGTTTTAGAAAGCTTTCCCTTTTGTGAAGTTGTAATGGAATTCCCCTAAATTGTTTTCTAAAAGTTTTATAATTTTGTCCTCCATGTCTAAGTCTTTAATCCAACTGAAATTGATTTTTGTGTATGGTGTGAGGTAGGGTTCCAATTCAGTTTTTTCAAAGTTGTTTAATACATTTTCCTAGTATCATTGACTGAATCTTCTATCTCTAATACCCACTACATTATAAAAATAAGTCTCTATATGCATTGATTTGTTTCCAGGTTCTCTATCATATTGCTTTGGCCCCTTTGTCTAGCCTTCTGCCAGTATCCCATTTTCTTACGATAGCTTACATACTAAGTTTTGATATCTGGGAGGGCAATTCTCCTTATCTTATACTTTTTTCTTAGGGAGTCTTGACAATTTTGGACACTTTCCTCTTCCATTTCAATTTTAGAATTAGTTTGTCAGGTGCCTGGGTGGCTCAGTCGTTAAGCTTCTGCCTTCAGCTCAGGTCATGATCCCAGGGTCCTGGGATCCAGCCCACATCGGGCTCCCTGCTCGGCAGGAAGCCTGGTTCTCCCTCTCCCACTCCCCCTGCTTGTGTTCGCTCTCTCGCTGTGTCTCCCTCTGTCAAATAAATAAAATCCTTAAAAAAAAAAATTAGTTTTCTCAGGTTCCATAAAAAATATTGCTGGGGTTTTTCATTAGAATTGGATTTAGTCAACATGGGGAGAAGTGACATCTTCATGCTATTGAAGTTTCCTACTAACAACTTGATATTTCTCCATTTATTTAAGTCTTCTTTAATGTTTTTTCAATAAGGTATAATTTGGGGCACCAGGGTGGCTCAGATGGTTAAGTGTCTGCCTTCAGCTTAGGTCATGATCTCTGGGTCCTGGGTCCTGGGATCAAGCCCCTAGTGGGGCTCCCTGCTCAATGGGAAGTGTGCTTCTCCCTCTCCCTCTGCCTCTCCCCCATTGCCCTCCCCCGCTCATGTGTGAGCTTTCTTTCTCTCAAATGAATAAATAAAAAAAATCTTTAAAAAAATAAGGTATAATTTTTCTCTGTAAATGAGGTACACACCTTTGATTA